AAAATAAAAGAAAATACTTTAAAGTTAAAATGAAGTTAAAATACCAAGATTGGAGTTGATGATAATCTATTTTATAGAAATTGAATTATTCCTCTGTTTTCTTTGAATTAATCTTATGTTTATGTGAGTATAAAATGTGGGTAAATTGCTACCTTTTTTTTTATTATTATTATTGGAAGGGGCGTTGGACCTTGGGTAAGCTGTACTTCATTACATCAACCAAATAAACTATAAATAAATTCACTGAAATAAATAAATTGTGGGATACATTAAAAAAAAAAAGGAAAAAAAAAAAGAATAGGGAATTTCATCGGCCCTCTGCTTAGAAAATGAATCACTGCATTTTTACAGTACTTCTCCCATAGATTTTAGAGTATATACTAGATATGTTGTCAGCGCACTGCCATGAGCAGTCTTTCATATTGTTTAGCGACCTGAAAGAATATTTATAGGGATAACGTAGCTGAAGAGACTGAAACCAAGAATTGGAATAAACAACAAGCAAAATTAAAGATGCATTTGAAAGCTTTGTTTAAAAGTTCGAAAGATTGATGTGAGAATCAACAGCGACTGCAGTAGTAACACATGAGCCGAGTTTATGGGATGACTTTGCGTACGATAACAGAAGCAGGAATGCCTGTGGAGAAGACAAGCAACAATTTGCAAGTGAAGGCAAAAAACATAGCAAGTTGGGCTGAGCTAGGCAAAAATCTTCTAACAAAGGCTTCACAGCAAGTCACCCTATATCAAAATAAATCCTACAGCATGCAGACACAGAGAATGGATGGTAGTTAAATCCTAAAGCATGCAGACAGAGAGAAAGGTGTAGCTAAGTTGTAAATAGAGGTAATTAGCCAAAGATATTCATTTAACACACAAAGAGTTAACATATATCTCTTTGGAAGCCATCGATAGTTTTGTGAGCGCTGTAGGGGCGAGTGGGGGAAGAAATGGCAAACAACTATAGCAAAAGGAAAACTAAATACACACAGTTTATAGGAAGTGCAAATCAGAAAGCGATGTAAAGTTAACAAAGAGGGGGGAACATGGATAATACAATAAGACTTTCATGTGTAGTAAGTGGCAAAATGTACAGAAGCAAGCAGCTGCTAATATTATTGAAATTGCACATGCAAAGGATAAGGGGGCGGCAGAGTTGCGGCCTAGAGAACTTGCCAAATTAATCTAGTAGGTGCCCCAAGTTTAGCGTAATGTAAGACCAAGCATAATTCAGTCAGCTCAAATGCAGAGGGTATTTGAATGAACTGCTTTTTCGGTTGCCAAAAAGCTAAAGAAATGAAGTAACAATCAATGGCAAGCATAATAACAATGGCTGGAAGCACATGACAGCACTTTTTTTGCCTTGACTAAATTGACCACAACAATTTTTTTGCAAGGAGGGGTCGGGTATAAAAAAAGAAAGATGAAATGCATCAGTATATGGTGGGCCAATTGAAGAACAACTATATTGAATGAGAGTAATGTGCGAGAGTGGAAAAGAAAATTAAACAATGGGATTGGATAAAAAAAATGTTGAATTGATACAAAAGAATGCTCTGCAAGTATCTACCGAGTCTTGGCAGCTTTGTATATGCAAAGGTTAAGTGACATGAGCCATGCAGCTTTGGTGGGAGCCAAGAAAATTGAAATATAAAAACTGCATCAAGATATTCAAGGGCGGCAACCTGGAACAATGAAATGTCAGTGTCCAAATTAACAATTAAGGGTCCTCTGCTGAGGATGATGCTGATGTCCTTATTTTTCCTGGCTAGCGGCTCTAATTCATTGGATTAATAAAGGATCAAATTAAGCTTGGATTCTTAATTAGTTTTCAATTCTTGAGTAAATTACAAGGTTAACGCTAACTAGTCATGGAAAATACTTCAAAGGATTAAGCTTTTTCATGACTGATGATGGATTGGACTGCTCTTGATGAGTTGCATGCAAACAAAGTCTCTTGTGTAGACCCTCTAATAACTTGGTTTAGAAAATGAGTTTAAGATTCAAAAACTAGAAAGGTAGGTGTTTGTGCATGGCAGAAGAGCCCATCTCATGACTTAAATGAGAATATTTATCCTGGGAAGATGAAGATGAAGATGAAGCGTAACCTATCATTATAGGGTGTCAATGCTCATAGCTCGTCTGCAAGAGTGGTCGGTCTATGTTTGCGTAAAGCTAAGGTGCTTAATTCGAGGCTGACTTTAAAATATAAAAATAGATTAAGCTAATTCTTTTAGTTTTCCTCTCTTTTGTAGCCTCTCAAAGAAAAATCTCTAACCTTCTAGAACAATAAGCCAAAAAACAGTAATTAAAGTATGAAGAGAAATCTTGTCGGAATTGTTTTTGTGCGTACATGTAAGAAACATCTTACTTGTAAGAAACTACAAATAATGATGTGTATATATATATATATATATATATATATGTTGTTGATGATGTATAAATTGAAATTAGCGTTACACGCTTTTGCCACTTATTGTACAAATATGTGTTTTTTTTCATGTGATAAAATATTTGAAATAATTAAAAACTTGAGCAACCACGTTGTCTACAAGGCAAGGATGACTCAAAAGTCATTATATATATATATATATATATTGGAGAGTTGTTCTTTAGGAAAACAATATAAGAAGTTACATAAAAAATCATATACAACGATCTTCCTTCAATTATAATTCTTTGAGAATGTTAAGTTTTCTATAGAATCATCTCATATTGTATATATATTACACAATTTGAATGTAATCTATGATTAAATATGGATGGAAAAACTTAATTAATTAAGAAAATCTAAAAATCATTGGTCAACATTAATACAAAAACTATCTAGGGGTAAAACTTCAATTACCTAGGACAATTTTTTATGTTGGATTAGGATTTATTTTATATTCCCTTGTAATTAAACACGACAAGTCATAACATAAAATCATTGTTTTAAATGCAATTTATATTACAAGCTTTTCGTTGCAATTTGTATTAATATCAAGATATTTTTTCTATTTGTACATATTCATACTCTTTTTATAACTTAAAAATAAAAGAAAAGAAAAGAATAGAAGTAGCTAATTCAATCAAGTAATATTATGTGCTCAAATTATGAAGATATTATGTGTTCAAATACTAATTAATTTGTTCCTTCTACGGGAGATTTGATTTTGCTATAAAAGGCATCTTCATGAAACCAGTAAATTTGCCAGATAACTTCCTATATTTAGCTTCCTTCCTCCTTAACCTTAGCCTCCAAGCTTTTAATTTTAGATATACTCTCAATTTCTAGATTATTGTCTTGTAAAAACTGTATAAATTAAATCCCTACCTGTATGTATGTGTATATATATAAACCCAGTTAAAATCCAGAAATTAACCTCAAATATGTTTCTCGCAGAGCCCGTCCCTTCAGTTTGAGAACACGTTATTTCAGGTATTCTTCCCCTCTCTCGATGTATCTGCTGATCATGTCAATTCTTTGGAACGCTGGTTGATGTTGATATTGTTCTATAAATTGCTTGCATATATACTTCAATGGATATCTTAGCAAATTACCAAGACAGGGATAGCAAGATTCATCCATATATATATATGCTAAGATCATTGAGGAAAAACAATCTAGCAGGTTGTCAAGACATCCACAAAGTATTATTCAGCACTCTCAGATCCATTGCTTCTATTGTTTTTTCTTAATCATGCGAAGAAATGGCCCAAAGACATTGAAAACTTCCTCCCAAGGACGGCAAATATTGCTTGGTCTCGGGCCCCGAAACCTGCATTTAGCAAAGATCCGGCTGCTAAGATTTTATTACTTTGTTCCCTTTACCTGAATGTTTACAGAATTGATCTTTACCTAGACGGCAAAAAATATGCCATCGCGAAGACGGCACCCTGACTTGGCTAGCCTTGCATGTTAAGAGAACGTTTGATTACTGCTGTATTGCCGCCAAATTGGAATTGCATTTCCTGTGAGATATTTGCTTGTTTTACCTTCGTGGCCTCATGTACAGTTGTTTTACAAAAATATTTATGTTTTTAGGATCTAGTAAGCTATATAAATCAAAAATCACTATTTGTTGACTAAATAATTTTTTTAATCTCCTTATCATTCTTGTTCTTTGAATATTTTAACTTGTAATTCATTTTATTATATTTTTATTTTCTTGACTATTAAGAAGTATTTAGAAGTATAATAGTGGTTGTTTTTTAAAATATTTTTTATTAAAATAATATATTTTTTATTTTTTTAAAAATTATTTTTAACATTAACAAATTAAAATTATTTAAAAACATTAAAAGAATATTTTTAAATAAAAAATTAAATTATTTAAAAATACAGTTTAAAAAGTAATTTCCAACCCTATCTAAGGTTATTTTAACCTTTTATATAGAAAAAATAAAAAAACCATATTAATACTAAATAGAAAAAAAAATATATTTTCTTTAAATA